CAGCTGCAGCAGCAGCAGCAGCAGCAGCAGCAGCACGAGAGTGTGCTGTAAGGCAACTCTTCAGAGGGCGAGGAAGGGGGGGGCCCCCCTCTCTGCTGGCAGTACCCACATCAGCATGAAGGGGGAGAGGCACGAGAGGGGGCCCCTCTGTCCCTGTTGGGGGCCCCCCCTCTATCTCTTCTGTCTGTATGAATGTAGCAGCACAAGCATCTGCTGCTGCTGCATCTGCTGCTGCTGCATCTGCTGCAGCAGCAGCAGCAGATGCTGCAGCAGCAGCAGCACGACCAAACACAACCATATCTGCTGCTCTTGCTGCTGTTTTCTCTGCCCCCTTTCTCTCTCCCTCGCTGCAGCTCTCATCCTTCTGCAGTCTTCGTTCTGCATTGGGGGCCCCCTGGGGGCCCCCTGAGGCCCCTGGCTGGGGGCCCCCCTGGGGCCCCCCCCGCTGGGGGCCCCCCTGGGGGGGCCCCTGGGGGCCCCCCCCCTGGGGGCCCCCACCTGGTGCTGTTTGTGTATGAAGCTGCAGCTCTTCTCTACCGCAGGGGGGCCCCCTGCTGTCTGTATTTTCTGTACATTCTGCTGCTTCTATCTGCTCAACCGACGGCAGCGGCTTCGCATGCAGGGGGCCCCCAGCTGGGGGCCCCCCTCCAGCCAGCAGGTCTATGGGGGGTCCCCTATGGGGGCCCCCCTCACCCTGAGGGGGCCCCCCCCCTTCGTGGGGGCCCCCAACCTGTTGCTGAGTTTGCTGGGGGCCCCCCTCCTGGGGGCCCCCTCCCTCTAGGTTATGCTGGTGGTGGGGGCCCCCCTGCGTGTGTGGGTGTTGCTGTGTATGTGTGTATGTGTGTATATTGTGTTTGTGTTTATAGGGTGGGGTTTGTGTGGAGGCCCCCAATTCAAGCCAATAGTCCTCATTAGGGTCATAAGAGGGGGGCCCCCTCAACCCCTCTCGTGCTGCAGCAGACAGCAGCGGATCTGCTGCTGTGCCCCGGTGCAGCAGCAGCGCGTGCTGCCGCACATCCCTGAAGCTTGCTGCAGTGTATC